ATTTAAATAATTATTATATATTCCAAATTAAATAAAGAACAAAAAATTCGACATAGTTTAACGTGTATTACACAAGCTCGAAACCAGGTCAACTCCGAATATTTAAAAATTACGAAACCATAGACCTTCGTTGGACAATAATACAACGAAGCGACACATCATCGCATGATCCATTCTAACACGTGGAACAGACGTCAGAATCAGCAAAAAACTAGGAATATTGATAAGCGCACGGCACGAGTAGTGTCCAGCAAGCGCTAGGCACCGGTAGTATTCGGGCGACCGGAGCCAGAGAGTGCTCAATCGCCAGTAGTTGTCCGGCACCCGTGAGTGCTCGGAGGCAGTAGCGTCCAGTAAGCGCTCGGCAGTAGTGGGCAGTAAGTGCGGGAGACCCGTGAGTGCTAGATGTCTGTAAGTGCTGGCGACCGAAGCAATAATTACGCGGCACGAGTGAGCGCGTTATTGTATTCCGACGGGACAGTAGTACCGTATAAGTGCCAAATATTTCGTATCTCGAAAAATTTGTGATAGCATACAATACCCTCAACAGACGGTTCTTGAAATCCAGTTGGACTAAAAAGGCGTATTTATTAGCTAGGGCCTAAGTACGCGAAGGTAACTAAACATAAATACTAACCCAGAGGAATATATAATAATCGTAGATTGTCCAAACTTTAGTTTTCTTGCTAAGGGCTCTTCTCATCTTCCTTCGCGTCTGAATAAACAATAATTAGTTTTAACTGATATCTTGGTGCCTTAGTTGTAATATATAGTTTATTTAATACATTGTAAACTCGAAATTTGGTTTTATTGTTCTTTCCCGACCGTTTACAGGTAGAGACTAGAAGAGAACACATGTTCGCTTATACATTCCTCCGGCTTCTAAAGCAAGCTCATAGACTCAACTCTTTACAGGAACTGAAACCTGGATGTGATGTTCTTCATCCCCTTCTCCCAATTTTTCCTACCCCCTTGAAAATCCGTGAGGGCGAAACCAGTCCGGTCAGACTAGTGAAACTAGTAAGCATTGCCTCCGCTGGTAGAGATAAGTATTCCCTTAAAAAATTATAGACGCATTTATTTCAGGTGGTGACTGGCGTCGTTTACAGTACTGGTATTAAAGCTATTTACTTGACAATGTCTTTAAATCGTTTCCGATTTCTACTGAGATGTTTGATGTTTGACAACTTTAATTTTAGACAACAAAGGAGAGGGTTGGGTAAACTTGCTCCTATATGAGTCATTTTTGGACTTTTTATTGAAAATTTTCAAAAAAATTTTACACTTTCAGATTATTTAACAGCTGACGAGCAATTACTTGCTTTTAGGGAAAAATGTTAATTCCGTCAATACATTCCCAGTAAACCATCCAAATATGGTTTAAAAATATTTGCTTTAGTGGAGAGCAAATATGCATATACATGCGAATATTAAAAAGATTTACTGTAAAATACAACCAACTGGTCCTTTTGAAACTGATTGGAATAGCGTAGATGTTGTTAAAAGAATGGTTAAACCCATAAAAGAAACAGGCAGAAACATAACCATGGATAACTGGTGTATCAGTATACCATTGGCCATGGACTTGCTTCAATAGCGATTAACTTTTGTTGGTACAAATTATTATTATTAATATATTGTTCAAACCTGGTTGATGCGGTTGACATGTACACTTCTGTTTATTAGAAAAGTTCCCTTCAAAATTGCTAAACGATGTAAATTGATCCGATAAATCATATAAATTCAATTCTAATATCAGGTAAGGAATAAACCTCTATTATTTGTAATACCGATTCTAGGTACTTACAACTATGACTTTTCACAAACATTTCACCATTCACAGTTATCATTTTATTTGTAGTAACTCAATTTAAACATTCTAAAGTGAAAGATAAAATCAGAAAAAGTAGGCCCAGAGTATTTTCGTCGGCCCAAATGTGCTCTTTATGATGGTTTTTTATTCTATTTTTACTAAAGGTAGCCTAGTCGATAAACAAGATATTTCTAATAAAATTAACATTTTTAGTGTTTTCCATTAACATAACCAATCGCAAAATCTAGCCCTTTTAGAATAATCTTCAGCCAATATCTCTGGAACACTTGTTAAGTGATAGGCTTTAAGCAGCTGATCTTTCAAACGCTTCCAAACCCTTACGTGAGGAACATTTAGTTGAGCAGCTATTACCCTTGTACTTGTTCCAGGGACTTCTTCAATGATTTCTAAAATGTCTTTGTCAGTTGCAACCATTATAGAACGACCACTATTGGGTCATAAATAATCGTCTATCGGGTGTCTATTTCCATTGGGGTATTTTACTGCATAACGCCTTGTGGCTGCTGCAATATTTCCTTGACATTCACCTACGATATTCCCGATAGTTTATTGAAATCATAATTTAATCTGATTCAACTTATCCAAAGTTAAATGCATATCTGCCATTTTGTAAAATGTGTAGACCATTATAATATCAAAATTTTTAACATTTCTTATTCACACAATAAATGATAGCTTCAAATTATTGACTGTTATCGATGGACCTTCTTGTAATTATTGTATCTCCAGAAACTAATTGTAATTTTAGTACTAACTAGAAAACAACTAGTTTTTCGAAAAAGTCATGGGAGGCAAAAAAGTTTTAAAAATAATATGTTAAACTAATTATGCCACAAAATTCATTTGATTTGAACGTACTCAAAAGTTTGGGGCAATTTAGGTCTGCACACCCTCCTTAAAATTTTTCTGTGCGCTTAGATTTTGTTGTTTCTTTTGTATGAAAAATGCTTTAATAACAAGAAAGTAATGTATAGATTTTTAGTACAAAATGTCAAATAGTTTAGGATATAAAGCAAAAAAACAATTTTTATTTTGTAACTTCAAATGGCTGTAACTTTTTTGTGTACAATTTTGTACTAAGCAAAGTTGGATTCAATCAATTTATTTTTGTCCCCGAAATGCGTGATTTAATTTATGCCATACCTTTTTGAGACACCCTGTATTATGTATATATACTGTTTCAAAAATTTTAGTACTAATCTTCAAATTTTTGAAGATTAGTACTAACAACTCAACAACGAAATAGATATGCATCTACCACATAACTTACTACTATTATGAGGGTTATTTTTTATTTTTACAATCTAATTCTATCTCCGAAATAATTGTATATTAGAAAAAAAAATTCATCACAATACAATATGTCAGAATTCTTGTACATTTTTTTATTATTAAACGCATATTATCTAATATACCTCCGGTAAAATGAACCAAAGCGAAACATTAAAAAAAACGTTAAACAAAAGCTGCGGAGTACTAGCGGTGTACGAAGAAAGCCACAATAATTGGAAAACAAATTTATATTCCAGCTAATTTCCATACGATTCGCCATTTCCAGACCGTCTCGTTCTGTTAAGTTGCTAAAAAGTTTTCAAGAATATTTTAATAATGGCTTTTGACTCGAGCCCCTGAGAAAATAAGAGAAATGTTGATATACTTGTAATGGTATGGATGTTCTGTTGCTTTTTGAGCTGTAACACAGTTTTTTATTTTTATGAACAAAATTAGCCAATAAGAAATATAATATTACTCTAGAATATACTTAAACAATATATGGTTTCGTTATTATTAATAATTTTTAGTATATAATAATAAATAATTGGGAAAATCGCGATATACTCCGACAAAACGCAAGCGGTACTATTCAAAAAGAAACACCTGCAACCAGAGGGTCAACTTACTGTTACCTCACAGAACAATCCCATCGAGTGAAAAAGAAAGGACTAATACCTGGGAGTAATCATGGATAAAGGACTTATATTTAATAAGCACGTAGACGTCACAGTGAAAAAGGCAACATGGCTAAAGTATCCATTAGAGGACTTAGTAATTAGACTAAAACCACCCTAGACCCATACTTCGAGAGATATTGAGATATAACCCAATATATACCAATAATAACCATAACCTGGGTTATGGTTATTGGGTATCTAACCCAATATTGGGTATCTAACCCAATAATAACCATATAAGGAACCAAAGAAAAGCGAAGACAAACTAAATAAAAAGTAGTGAGAGAAAAACAAAACAAACAAGGAGAAAAAAAATCAAAACAAGTAGTCAAACAAACAAAATCACCAAAGAGAAAAACAAAAATCCCAGAGATAAAAACAAATAAGCCCACAGGAGATAGTTCGTAGTTCTAAAAGTCGACAAATAAAGTAAATAGCCACGCTGTGTGGACCCCAATGAGTGAGGACTAATTAACATCACTAGGACCATCACAAAGACAACCTACCAAAAAAATAATTAAAAACATTAAAAGCGGCCCAGGCCCACAAAAAAACTTCAAAAAGTTACACAAAATCAGGCGAAAGCTTAACAAAAAATGTATAAAAAAAAACACAAAAAACCTGAGCAAGTAGGGCACAAACACTTGAACAGCCAATCGCCAGACTGAACGTAGGCCGGAGCTCACCATTTAAATTAGAACTAGAGTATTAAGATGCTACGTGTTCTCTGTCCTGTTGTATGGAGTTGAAGCTTGGACAATTACAGAAGCGACAGAGAAAAAATCATTCACTTTGAAATGTGGTGTTATCAAAGAATGAGGAAAATATCTTGGACATAACATATAACAAATACAGAAACGCTAGGAATTATAAAAAAAAGGTAAATACTCAACACTATAAAGAAAAGAAAAATGAGCTACTTTGGTCACATACTAACAAACGAGAAATACGAATTAATGTGACTGGTCATATTTTCGAGGGAAGGTGGAAGACAAAAGAGGACTGGGAAGAAGACGCACGTCCTGGTTTATAAATATGAAACAATGGAGTGGAAAAACGTCAATAGAACTTTTTAGAACGCTTAGTAAATAGATTACATCAAGTCAGTATCAAATATGGACTACAAATGAAAGTTAAGAAAACCAAGTTCATGATTATTTCCATGCAACATACAGTAGGAAGGCTAGACATCGAAGGAAAATAAATGGAAAGAGTGAATAACTAAAAATATCTGGGAACCTGGATAAATGACAACAATGACCAAGGTAGAGAAATAAGGAGACGCATTGAAATTGCAAGACAAGCATTTATACAAATAAAAACAATGTTTGTCAATCGAGACCTTCCCCTGGATCTGACGATAAGAGCCTTAAGATGCTACGTGTTCTCGGCTTTGTTGCATGGAATGGAAAGCTGGACACTAAAAGTGGATAATATAAAGAAGTTGGAATCATTTAAGATGTGGTGCTATAGAAGGATTTTGAAAATACCATGGACCCAACGAATTACAAATGCAGAAGTGTTAAGAAGGCTACAAAAGGATTGCGAGGTCATAAAACACATCAAAACAAGAAAGCTGGAATTTTTAGGCCACATTACCAGAGGTGCGAAATATAAGATATTAAGTCTCATAATGCAAGGGTAAAAGATCCATAGGAAGACGAAAAATTTCCTGGCTGAGTTGCCGCTCAGTAGATCTTTTTAGAGCAGCGGCCAATAAGGTACGGATAGCTGTGATGATAGCCAACCTCCGATAGGAGAAGGAATTACAAGAAGAAGACTGCCTTCTATAATTTAATTTATCTTTATACACTGTCGCTTTGGTCGTCCCGGAACCCCATCGAAGTTTTTCGGTAGCGTTATGGCTCGCTTAAAACGCCAAATTGTTCGAAACATATCTAGCATCCTTGTGAAGTCAAAACATTATAGATCTTTATGGGACGCCCACTGGCAAGGTTTGATCAGGTCGTGGTATTATCGCACGTGGCAATGGAAAGAAAAATGACCAAATGTTCGTATATTACAAATTTGTAAAGTCGTTTTGAGTATGTAACATACTTAGGTTTAAGTAGTATCTCTTCTGCAGAAGGCAACGGAAAACCACTGCATTAAAGACTCTTGGAGTATCCCTAGAAATCGTCATGGCTAATAAAAATGACAATCAACAACCTACTAATCATGGTTCTCGGATGCCAAGATTCGGCAGGGGAAGAAACAGCAGTAACGACAGGGCTTCCCAGGCCGTTAGTCAGCGAAATCCCTGTTCACTAAATATATACAAATCCACTTACAAAATAGCTACATGGAATGTAAGAAGTATGTATGAACCTGGGAAACTAAGAAATATACAGCAAGAGATGATGCGACTGGAGATCGATATATTAGGAATAAGCGATACAAGATGGGTCGGCTCTGGCGTAATCAATACAGACAATGGACGAATTTATTACTCTGGAAGCAGCGACACCCAACACAGATATGGAGTTGCTATGATCCTTACTGAAAAACTAACGAGATCAGTAACAGGCTTCGTTCCGATATCTGAAAGAATTATAATGGTGCAATTATTGACAACCCATGGAAAAATAAATTTAATTCAGATTTATGCACCAACTGCTGACAAAAATGAAGAAGAAATAGAAAACTTTTATAGTGAACTTCAAAAAACATTACATCTCACAGCATCTAGAGACGTAACAGTGATCATGGGTGATTTCAACGCAAAAATTGGCGAGGGAAAATGCTACCCTAATGTAGGCCCATATGGGCTTGGTGAACGAAACGACAGAGGGGATCGCCTAATAGAATTTTGCCAGGAGCACAATGTTATAGCCGCAAATACATTCTTCAAATTACCTAAGCGACGCCTTTATACATGGAAATCGCCAGCTGACAAAGACAACAAAATCGTCAGAAATCAAATTGATTACTTCCTAATAAAACACAGATATCGAAACTCAATTCAGGCAGTAAAGGCATATCCAGGAGCGGACGTATCTTTTGATCATAGTCTTCTTATTGCTAGATTTCAACTTCAACTAAAAAAGACACAAAAAAGCCGCAATAATAATAAACTTAACATACAGAAACTAAAGTTTCTATATTGTCTATATGTCTATATTGGAGCCAAGTAAGAAACTACTTACACAACAACTAAATATAAGAAAGAAGAATGGATGACAGAGGAAATTCTAGAGTTGATGAATGAAAGGAGAAAAAACAAAACCATCAATAAGACGCGCTATAAACAGCTTCAAAACCAAATAAGAAGAAAAATTAGGGAGGCTAAAGACACCTACTTCTCTGAAAAATGTAAAGAAATAGAAGAACTTCAAAACAGATATGACAACTTCAACCTACATAAAAAAGTCAAAGAACTAGCCGGAGTAGGAAATAGACGAACCTCAAATATATTGCTCGACAAAAATGGAAATATTATATTGGAAACAGAACAAAAACTACGACGATGTAAAGAGTACATCGAAGAATTATTTCATGACCAGAGAGAAGCTAGTACATCTGTAGATAGCCAAACGGGAGATGTAGGTCCAGAGATAACCAAATCAGAGGTTAGTCAGGCATTAAACTCAATGAAAACCAATAAATCTGCTGGTCCAGATGAATTACCAAGCGAGCTACTAAAGTTGGTCAACGAGAAAAACCTGGACATAATAGTAAAACTATTCAACGCTATCTATACTACGGGAATAATTCCTAGAGAAATGTTGACATCAGCATTTGTGTGTTTGCCAAAGAAGATGAATGCCAAATAGTGTAGTGACTATCGAACCATAAGCTTAATGTCACATACCTTGAAAATTCTCTTGAAAATTATCCACGCCAGAATACACTCTAAACTGGAGCTGGATATTAGTGACACTCAATATGGGTTCCGCAATGGTATGGGTACCAGAGAGGCATTATTCTCCTTCAATGTGCTGACACAGAGATGTTTGGATGTTAACCGTCCTCTTTACGTCTGTTTTATAGACTACAATAAAGCGTTTGATAAAGTAAAACATGATAGACTCCTGGAAATTCTAAAAAATACTAATAACACACCTCTATTACAATCAGCGAGCAATAGTAAGAATCGAAAAAGAAACATCTGAAGAAATGGAAATAAAGAGAGGAGTCAGGCAAGGCTGCATTCTATCACCTCTATTATTTAACGCCTATTCTGAAGAGGTAATTCGAGAAACTCTGGAAGATGAAACAGTCGGCATAAGAGTAAATGGAGTCTTAATTAACAACATCAGATATGCAGATAATACAGTAATAATAGCCGATAGTTTACAAGACCTGGAAAGACTCATGAACAAAATAGTCATGTGTAGTAGGGAGTACGGACTCTCTCTTAATGTCAAAAAGACGAAGTTTATGAAAATTTGTAAAAACAACTATAAAACTAACGAAATCTTGATAGTAGAGGGCCAGCAGATCGAAAGAGTAAAAAAGTACACTTACCTAGGAACACTTATAACAGAAAATAATCACTACACGGCAGAAATCAAAGTCAGAATCGAAAAAGCACGTTCTAATTTTATAAAAATGAAAAAGGTCCTATGTGGCAAAGATCTAACATTAGCTCTTAAAGTACGCCTAACAAAATGTTACGTATACAGTGTACTATATTATGGAGTGGAATCATGGACGTTAAATCTAGATACCATGAGACGACTTAACGCCTTTCAGATGTGGACCTATAGAAGAATTATGAGGGTTTCCTGGGTAGATAGAGTTACAAACAATGAAATACTGAGAAGAATAGGCAAAGAGAAGGAAATTGAACTTACAATTAAAGAAAGAAAGCTACAGTATCTCGAACATGTGATGCGGGGCGATAAGTATGGCATCCTGCGACTCATAATGCAAGGAAAAATAGATGGCAGAAGAAGCATCGGAAGAAGACGAATTTCATGGCTGAAGAACCTGAAAAAATGGTTTGGATGCAGCTCAAAACAACTATTTAGAGCTACTGCCTCAAAAATTAAGATAGCTATGATGATTGCCAACCTCCGTAGCGGAGATGGCACCTGAAGAAGAAGTATCTCTTCTGCTTAGGATGTCCAATGATACAAGGCAATAAATATAAATTAAATAAATATTTTTTACCATCGTTTATGTTAACGGTGTATATTTCATTTTAATTAGCTGAATTTTTGAATAATTGACGGATTTGAGCCGGAATTTGATGAATTAATTTTTAATCTCAAGAGTAAACAACCTCTGCTTATAAACAAGCATTCTGGATCATAAATATCGTGAATTTCAAACTCAATTACGATATTATACGCCCTAATGGAATAAACACTCGCATACGCATTTCCGGGAATAATATCCTATAGAAAATCGAGATAAAATGGATAAGTCCCTGTGGTGTAATGATATGGTGTAAGGTAATTTCAGACATGTTTATTTTTGTTCGAAACACTTTTATCATTTTCTGAACGATCGAATTTATTTGGTATTACTTTTAGATTGTACTTATGTTAAGGTAAAATACGCGATACCATTTATGTAGATAATGGACTATATTGACATAAAAATGCTCATGTTTCTTCTTCTTAAAGTGCCTTCTCCATTACTAAAGGTTGGCTACAACTACAGCAAATTGCTTTCTATCTTGAGCTGTTGTGAGTATCGAATGCATGTCCATGCCTGTCCAGTCTCTTACATTCTTCAACCAGGAGCAGTTTCTTCTTCCTGGACCTCTTCTTCCTTTCACTTTCCCTTCCATTATAAGTCATAGGAATTTGTATTTTTCTCCTCTGTAAATATGTCCTAGATAACTCGTTTTTCTGGTTTTACAATATTTAGGAGTTCGCCCTCAGTATCTATTCTTCTTAGCACCTCGTTGTTGGTCACGTGCTATGTCCAAGAGATCTTCAGCATTCTTCGAAAAACCCATATCTCAAAGCATATTCTATACGAGCACGTATTTCTACCTCGTGGTCAAGATCGTTTGTTACCCACCAACCAAGATATTGGAATCTTTGTACTGGTTCTATATGTTTGTTATAGATACGAACATTATTGTCGACATTTGGTGCACGTGTAACAGCAATTCCTTTTGTTTTATTTGTGTATTTATTCAGTCCCAAGCTATCTCCCTCTCTGGTTATGGCATTCAAAAGTCGTTGTAAACCTTCAACACTGTCCGCAATGATGACAGTGTCCTCTGCGTATCTTAAATTGTTTACATATTCTCCGTTAATTGTTATTTCTTCTTCAATATTTTCAAGGGCATTCTGAAAGATCTTTCTTAGTAAGTTCCAAAAGAAATAAATCTTTTGGACAATAAATCCTTTTCGGTCAAAGGAGAAATAATAAAAGGAAATCACAGTTCGATTCCTATATTTGAAGACGTTGCGCTTATTGAATTTACAAGCTGGTGTATTGCGCCTGCTCGTCTCATACTCCCCAAAAGTTGGATTAAGTCACAACGATGAAAAACACACATTTACTTCATTGTAAATGCCAGCAATTTGACATTCGTTTTCGCGTTAGAATCCTTTAATTTGAAATGCGTCCTAAAGTGAAGTACAATATCTTTTTAATGTTAACCTTGTTATTAACAGCTCTGTGCCAGTGTGTTTAGTGATTTTTTTAAATTTTATATCTACACTTTACTACTATAAGTTAGTTTTTTTTTGTTTACGTGCAATATGACGAGTTTTTATAGAGCTTTGTAGTAGTTTTATTCATTCTTTCACGTTTAAATAAAACTTGTTCGT